CATGCCCTTGACTGGGGACATGTCACAGCCATCAGCAGAGGTTGTCCTCCTGGAGCGCCGGGCTTTGGAACGTGCCCCCACGGAGCCCAGCCAGCCAGATCACAGGCATCCACCCTGCTGTGGCCGGGCAACAGACGTCCCTGTCACAGACCCCCTCCTGTCTCCGTTTCGTGCTCTGCTGGTTATCAATAGTTAGAGCCCAATCAATGAGGGACTTTTCTGTTTAGTCAGTTTGATTGTTTTTGTGCCGCAATGAAATGTGCCACCAATTCTGGAAAAAATATATATATATAAATGCTAATTGGGTTCCAGGTTAACTTTCCCTCCCCCAAGTCTGTAACTTCTGTAATATGTTTAAAGAGTCTTGTTCTTTGGCCCCCAAATACTTGTCTCAACAGAGTTTCAACAGAAAATGCCCTTAGAAGCTCAGCCTTGGTTTGCAGGACTAGAGCGGCCATTGCTTGGTTTTTAACAACCCTCCATTCTCTCCTCGTGGGGTAAACAGTAGCACTCAGGTTTCCCTCCATTCTCTTATCCCTAAAGCTGTATAGCATTTTGGAGATTTTCAAAGGGTAGTTTTTTTTTTAATTGCAATGTATCATGTAGAAATGAGAAGGAAAACGGCTTCTTTCTTTGTACCATCTTTTTGTTTTATTCACTTAGACCAAGGATGGCCAAACGATTTCATCCCACATGCCACCTCTTAGAAGTAAGAGACTCTGGGGTGTGCTAAGTTGAGACAAAGTTTTGTGATCACATCTGTGCTGTGGTTGATTAGTGATGTCTGCCATGGGCACGGACAAGGAGGAGAGCTGAATATATGCCCTGTATTTGCCACTCTTGACTCAGATCTGGTGAAAAACCAAATTCACACGTAGATGGTGTGAACACTAGCCTAACAGTTAAGCAGTGTTTACTCTGCACTGGGCACTGTTCTAAGTGCTTTACATATATTAACTCCTTTGATTCTCAAAGCAACCCACAAGGTGGGCACAAATGAGGACACTTACAATGAGGAAATTCCTGCAGATGAGGAAACTGAGGCACAGTGAGCCAAGGTCACCCAGTGGGGAGGAGGGAGAGCTGAGCTTCAGTCGGGCAGTTCTGTTCCAGAGCCCCGTGTCCTCAGCCCGGATCCTGTGCCTCTCTCAATGGCTCGTGCCGTGTCTGCGCTGTCCAGGGACTCATGTCATGCTCAGCTGTGGTTCAAAATGCAAAATTATGTTTCCAGACCTTGTTATCTTTGAGCCTTGGGCTCTAGAATAGAAGATAAGACAGAGTCCAGGGGAACCTGAGCAGCGAGGAGGGAATTGTGTGTGGAAGTCCTCCTCCCTCTCCAGGTAGCGTTTCTAGTCTGTCCACCCCTGCCACACCTCCACCTGCTCAGACCAGAGGTGGATGGGAAGGGAAGAAGGTGGAGTGTAAGGACTGGAACAGGGAGATCCTTGGTCTCTAAGCCACCTGGCTGGGGACACTCTTTCTGAGTGGCCACTTTCAATGAGCATTTGTATATAAGGGATACATGTTCATATAAAGAGAGATATATGTTCATGATAAATTAGGAGTTTGGGATTAACCAATACACCCTGCTATATATAAAATAGATAAATAATAAGGACCTACTGTATTGTAGGGGAAGCTGTACTCAGTATCTCGTAATGTCCTCTAGTGGAAAAGAATCAGAAAAAGAATATATATATATATATATATATATATATATATATATATATGTACACCTGTATCACTTTGCTGTACATGTGAAGCTAATGCAACATTGTAAATCAACTATACTTCAATAAAAAAAAAGAATGTTCGATGTCAACAACAAAAAAGGAGAGAGGGCTGTTGAGTGTATCAAATAATGTATCTTTCATGATACGTTATTACCTCTGTAGTTCCCTGTTCTACCAGCTAAACCATCAAAGGGTGCATATCTTTTATGATACATTATAAAGAGTTTGTTTTAGTAGTTCGTTTTCCTTCATTAATTTAACAATGTATTGAACACCTCTGCTGGGCTCCACGCTCTGCTAGAACTGTGGAAGTGGTGAACTGACAGGGATATGAGCTCTGCCTTCCCTGGGCTTGTAGGCTACTCGTTGAAATAATGACCAAGTGTAAGGTGAAGCTCTGACTGTAGCAGAGGGAACCGGGGACCGAGGTGGCCAGACCACATGGGTTTTTGAAGGCTTCAGGAAAGAGTTCTGACTTTAGGCGAAGAGTAGCGGGAAGCCAGGAGAAGTGGGGGTGGGGGGGGGACTTTGTTTTATATAATCAGAGTTAAAAGAGCATGGTGGCTACACTGGGAAGAATAAGTTGGAGAGGGGAGAGGGAAGAGCTAGGCGTACTGGTAGGACGGAGTCCAGGCACAGAGGACTCAGGAGTTGAGACTATGGTGGTTTGGGTGGTGCAGGGAAGAAGTGGAAGGATTCTAAAGATGTCCAGAAGGCAGGATTAGCTGGATTTGGTGGTAGATGAGATGGGAGTAGTGAAGGAGAGAGAATGGACCAGGATGCCTAGAAAGTGGGAGGATGGCTGTCCTCTTCCCAGAGGGAGGGCTGCCGGAAGAGGGTCAGGCTGGGTGTAGAAGGGCGCCTGCGTTGGAGGTGCTTTTGAGCTGTCCCAGAGGAGCTGCCAGATAGACCACACTCCTTGTTATAATTGTGTAGTGTTTCAGCCAGCGACGCATGAGCCTCAGCGGGCTGTCCTGGGAAACTTAGGGCAGCAGAAAACATTTGTAGAAATCTGTAATTTTGTTGGCTTTAAAAACTCCAGACAGAAAACAAACATCTTTTCATCTAGGAAATAAGAATCTAACGATGACAAAGAAAACTGATAGAAATATCTTGCACAATCTCCCTAGGTATTTTTGTTTTTGCGATGTTTCTCTGCCAGTCTTTTCCCAGAAGCATTCGCATTTTAGTTAGCTGTCATTAGAGCCTACATCCAGCGTATAAGAGGATTGTTTTCTCTTACTGTTATCCCAAACATTCTCCACATTTCTATATAGCTCTCAAATTCTATATTTAAACTGTTGCATAATTGTCCATGCTTTTGATGAATCATGAACTACAACGTTCTAGGCTACTTCTCTGTTTTTGGACATTTAGTTGATTTAAAGATTTCATCCTTACAGGTAATACTTTAATAAATATTGTGAGACCTACCACCTTTTCTGTCCTCTTGCATTTTTCCTTAGGTGAAATTCTTCTGAGTGTGGTCAGTGGGTTAGAGCTTGGATGGGGCTACCACTCTTGCTATGTGTAAAGGCAAACGTTTTAAGACCTCTGACAGGGGCTCTGGGGTCCTAACCATAGAACAGAGCTGCGACCTCCACGTGGAGCCTTTGGATTCGGTAACCAATGTTCCTAACCATATGTGAGCGTGCGACAAGGTCCCTCGGCCCCCTGTGCCCTTCCCCCTCGCATCTGCTGGTTGTATCGGTTGGTGCCTGGAGACACTGTACTGCCTGTTCTCTGCTTCAGCCAGGCTCCTCCCCTCCTCCCAGGGTTTTTGTTCTTCAGCTGGTGCCACAATTACCTAAGAACCAGTGGAAGATCCTGAACCGACGGTCTCCCGAAGGGCTTGTCTAAACTTGACTGAGCCTCACGAGCCTTCAAGTTCTAAAAGACTTGCAGTGTGCTGCCTAGCATTCCCAAGGGTTTGGATGAGCGTCTCGAGACCCTCTGTGACCTGGTCCCTGCCTTCTAGTCCATCCTTAAGCGTCATTGCTTCTGAGCATGGTGCCTCCACTGCACCCAGACTAGACTCTGCTCTGGCCGGGATGACACCCTGGTTGCATCTACTCAGAGAGCCAGGCTCTCACTCAAGTTGCTCCCTCACCCTCTGCCTTTCCAAACTCAACCCCTCCTTTGAGACTCTACGTGAGCTGAAGTTCGTCCAGGTCACTGCCTCTGCCTTCCAGCTGTTGTACCTCCGCTGCAAACCCCAATGGTGCCTTTGGTCTCCACGCCGGGACTTAGCACACAATTGTAAGCTTTCTGGAGAAGTTCACTTTTGAAATTCTTACCTCTTGGAGATGATCGTACACTCCTCGAAGGCGAGAACCGTATCAGCCTTCCCCTCCGGGCCTCTCAGAACCTCGCTTTGGCACTGAGCCCAGTGTCTGAGCTTGAGAAGTCAAATGAGACCCATTGAATCAAAATATATGTGTTCCATGATGCAATGGCGAAGTGTTTCAGCCATGCTTCACTTAACGTATTTGCAGCATAAATGCCCATGTTAAGAACTTGCTGAGGATAATACTAAAATACTCCAAGATGGACCAAACTCAGGTCTTCTCTCTCTGGTTGCATTTCCGGGGGGTTATGAGAATAAGGTAATGCTGGAAAACCATGAGCTGGTCACGTTTTATTTCTAAGTCCTTGATATGCACTCGGATGGGAAGGGTGATCGGTGGAGGGGACAAGGGTGGACAAAGAGTAGTAAAAAGCACTGGAATATCTGTCTGGTTCTTAAGAAAGCAAGTGTCTTTGGCCCCCAGAACAGTGCTTGACTGTCATGAAATGATGTCTTCTGCTCTTCTGGTTCTTAAAAAATTGGTCCCAGTGTTACCCTGCTGTCTTCACAGCTCACGTTACTTCTGATGGTCAGGAGCCTTCAGCAAAAGCCACCCAGTTCACCCTGGAACCCCGAGCTCCCCTCATTCTCCAGGACACAGCCTGGCACTGGGGGGACCCTCTGGCTGGGAGTCAGGAGCTCCCAGGCTGAGCCGGCCCTGCCCGCCCCAGCTGCCCGGCTCCGCGCACTCTCGCTTGTGAAATGACGCGCCTGGGCCTGACCATCTCTAGGCTCTTTTGTAACTGGGATCCTTAAAAACAAAATAATTGAAACTCTCTTAAGAGGGTGAGCTTTGGTGCCACTGCGAACTAAAAATAAGAAATAGACTATCTGACACATTTAATGACATGTGTTAGTATGTGTGTAGAACTTTACACTTAACATGCATGTCTTTCTTTCTCTCTCTTTTTTTTTTCTAGCCAAACATCATGTCAATGGCAACAGAACAGTTGAACCTTTCCCAGAGGGAACACAGATGGCTGTATTTGGTAAGATATCAACTCTGAAAGAAAACCCAAATTGTGTGCAAAGACAAGTGCCAAATTTCTGAGTTTTAGCAAGTGTCCGCAGGGCTTCAGAATCTGGGCGCTTCTAGATATTTACAAGTCGTTGAAGCCAAAAAAACTCTCAAGTTCTTAGGATTTCTGGGATCGGAAAAGCTTATGCTATAGAATTTAGTATGCTTTCCTTTCTCACTTTGCAAATCAAATTTCAAACTGTGTATTTGCTATTTCTTACGTCCACACTGTGAAATAACCTGATAATTTAGCGTTTGACTTTTTCTTTCTAGGAGGATTTTGCCCCCCATATATAAAAAACATATATATATAAATATTTTTTCTGTATATATAAATATTAAAGCTGGAATTCAAGTAGTTTTGAGTTGTTATTCTGCACAAGTCAATCTAATTGAATGGTCTCTTTCTCTTCCGTTATGAATTAAGCATATTCCACAAGAGAAAACATCAGCTAAAATGTTTTTAATCCCCGAGTGTATCCTTACCACGTACGGCTATGTGGCTGAGCAGAACTTCTCTGCTAAATTCCAAACCTTTTGGTGAAGAGATCTTTTGTAATTCGTGTATTCCTTACCTTCATATCTGACATCACCTGACATTCCTTCAGAATGTCTCTGCATCTGGAACTCTCCTTGCCCGCTTTCTTCCCTCCCTCTCTCTCTCCCCTTCCTCTCCTCCATCCCTTTTCTTCCATACAGCCCCCTCTGCTCCCCACCACCTCCACTTCCCTCCGCTTCTCTCCAGCAGTGCCCAGGGACCCTTATCACCCTTTCAGAGATTTCCACCTCTGTCCCCTGAATTTTCAACTTTTTATTTCTTCTGATTTCTCCCCCTTTGCTTTTTAGACAGATTCTATGATCTCTTTTGTCCTAAAACCCTGAACTCCCCTGACTTCGTGCCCTGCTCCAGCTTCCATCCTCTCCTGGTCCTGTTGGAAGTCTCCTGCAAGGGCCTCTGATATCAATCTGCTTTAAGCACTGAAGTATCTTTGAGCCAGAAATCAGCCTCCTGACAACACTGTCTCTAAATTAGCATATTCAGGGTAAAATGTTTACGTAACCCCAGAGTTAGTCATCCCTGATGATTAACAGTTGGAGAGTTATGAAATGAGGACCCGATTCTGCCTAGGTGTTTGTACAGCTCGCTTTGTATGGGCTGTCACCTTTTAAAATATACTGATCAGTGATTAGAAATTACTGTGCTTAGAAATTTAAATGGAGAACCTGGCTTTTGTAGAAAACAAAATAATGGTCCCTATAAAACGTGTGCTATTTGATTTGTTAAGTTTCCTCTGAGAAATTACGTTCAGATGATGCCATTTTACCCAAGTTGTAGGCCCCGCACGATGTCTGTCACCAGGGGACAGCAAAGGCCAAAGGTTCTTGTAATGATTTTTTTTTTTTTTTTTTTGTCTTTCAGATTTGTGAGCCCCAACAGGTTAGAAACTAGGTTTCAGGTCACACTGGGAAATGTGAAATGGGACTGACCTGCCTTAGGTTTCTGTATGTCGGGATATTATTGGAGGAGAGCCTCCTTCCCAAAGGACTGACCTTGGTCCCGGACAGGGCGACATTCTTTGCCACCAAATCGGAAATAGAGAAAAAAGCTCTGGAGAGATTCTTCTTATTATTTTGTTTTGTCAAAGGTTTGGTTTAGAGTGAGTTTCCTGAACATCCTAACCCAAGGCTTTCATTGTGTGACTTTAAGTAAGCCACTCCCCCTCTCCAAGCCTCAGCCTTCTCCCCTGTAGAATGGGAAGGCTGGGGTGCTCTGAGACCCTCCCCTCTGCTTCTGCATCTTCCATACTCAGGCCTCAAGGCTCACCTGGCAGCAGGCAGCCCTGGCAAGCCCACTGTGAATGGCCAAGGGGTGTGGTTTTAAAAGAAACGAGCCAAGTGCATAATTTCTACCACTGCAGAATTATACAGATTGTAAAACAGAGCATCTCTTGACGTGTAAGGATTGTTGCATTATTAGAACTGCAGTTGGGCTCTTCCAGATGCTTAGTAAGGCCCCCGCTTTGACTGAGTGCCTGTAAACATTCTGTATTCATGTTTTAAAAATAGTTCTCACTTGATGTTGCTCGTCCGCCCGGCCTGCAGTGGAGTGAGTGAGTAGGTGGTCTGGGGGCTGGACTTCTGTCATTCGGGCTGTTTATAGTCGTACTGAAAAAGTCAAACTAAGTACAGCCCTTTGATATCTCTTGGGCATGTAAGCCTCCCAGCACCGTGTAAGGCTGGTAGAATTATGCAGTGCCCTTGTCAGAGAGCTCATACGGTTTCTCCCAAGTCCCTCAGCCAGTAAGATGCTGGCGCTCGAATTTGAGCCCATGTCTCAGTGACCGCGAAGCCCACGTTCTTTTTACCATGTTCCCCGACTCTTGGCCCTGGTTGCAGGAGTCCTGGGAGTTTCTGGTAGAGTCAGAAATGCCTTTCAGCTCGATCCATGCACAAAAGCGTGATTTCCAGCCAAGCCAATTTAGCCAATTGATTTGTGAATTTCTGTGCATTTCCAGAGTGCTCTGAAGGACTCTCGAGACACGGCTTTTGCCAGGAAAACCCTGCTTGGAGTGACATCTCCTACTATTTACCGTTGTCTCCCATTTGATTTTAGTAGCAGGTATTCATGTGCAGAAGAACGTCTTGCCTCTACTTCACTGTGAGCTCATCAAAGCAATGGTGGCGTTTTCTACTGGTCCAGACTCGTCCTTTAGCCTCGGAGGTCTTAGTATTTTATGCCGAAAGAGTGTCACCAGTTTCAGTTATGTTGTCTGTTGGTTAATCATTTGAATGTACCACACAGAATACTTGCTAAATAGGAACTTTTAAATTTAAAGTGGCCACTGAACTGCCACTGGACATTGGGCTTAGGGCGGCTGATGTAAGCAAAAGGGGAGCGGGGGACCGGGTCCGGCTCTGTTCTGGAAAATGTACGAATGTGTTAATAGATCAAGTGATGAGAGAAGCTGTAGATGGTTCCGTAAGAGCTCCTTGTGGCATATAATCTTCACAGATTATTTTTAAAACAAGACATTCATTTTTTTTTCAGATTTTCTTTTGTGGCCCAGCGAGTTTTATCCTTGTCTTGTTTTTCTGTGATCACAGTCCTTTAGCTTTTCTGTTGCTCGCTCTCTCCTCCGGCTTTAGGATGATGCTAACGACGGTAATGGGCTTGCTCTCCCTGCGGGCTGCCCCTCGGCTGTGTGCGATGCTCTCTCAAGTCGGTGGGAGCCCTTTTTTTACAGGCCAGAGAAGCGAACGGAACATTTTGCAATTACTTAATGTCTTTGTTCCCAGAGGCTGAGTGCCCTACAGCTGTCGTGCCTTAAATCCCACAGCAGCCCTGTGAAGTGGGCATTACTGTGTTCTTTTAGGGATGGAGAAACTGAGGCTCCCAAAGATGAAAGACGTATGATCAGGTGGAGGGAGTGCTTTCTCAGGCAGGAGGATGTCCACGTGACCCTTGCCAGCATGCTGGGCCCGTCTTAGAAAGGTTCTTTCCGGCTCCCAGTAACTTAATGAAAGGGACAGCCCTTGGCAGCGGGCCACTCCCTCCACGCAGAGAGCACGGGCCCCGGGCTATCCGTGGGGGTCCTCCTTAAGCCCAGAACAGCTATTCATTTTATTACAAGTACTCCATAGTCAAGAAGGTTTATCATTTCAAAATAAATAGAAATGTATTCATTGAGAAGAGTGCAGAGAAGTCGGGGGTTTGGGATTCCAGTCTTATTTGTGAAGATTTTTAGTACAATTTTTAAAAATGAAATACAGATTTTTTAAGACTTTAAAAATTTCAGTACTTGACCATAATACTTACCATTCCAAACCTGGATACTTTTGAAAATGAAAAGGATGCTGTTAAAAATTACATGAAAATAATAATGAGTACATACCTGGAGGATTTCAGACAACTGGGGTCTAATGTCATCCTATAATGAGATTGTATATTATAAAATATTGTGCCAAGAGTAATAAATACATATGTAAGTATGAAATTGAAAAATGATGAACTTAGATATATAAAATGAAATAAACAAATGAAAAATTACAATGCAATGGACTTACGTTATGTACCACATACATCAACGTCAGTAGTTATACTAACGTCCAAGATTTTACTCAGTAATTAGTTATATTCTTTCTCAATGACTTGAAATTAAAAGTTAATTCACACTGATAAAACCTGATTCTTAGCACTTTGATAAGAGATGGGAAAGTGATTTGATCATACCTTTGCAATTTTAATGTTGTAGTAATACTGTCCAGTGATGCGGGGTAATACCCTCTCCATCACTAGAAGGACTCCAGCGACAGATCCTTCCTTGCCAGTTGGGAAGTGGAAGGAAACAGCCTTTAGGATCCTTTCTTCTAAGTTAATGAGGATTTTCTTTGTTTCAGAGTGTTAAAGCATTTTGGAAAAAAAAAATCACTTCTAACTCTAAATTCTTGGATCCTAACAGAAACCCGCATCCAGGCTGTTGGGTGAGAGGAGAAATTCTGCAGCGAAAAATCATAGCGTTCAGGGATTGATAGGCACCGGGCAGCAAGGGCAGAAGTATCTCCATGAGTTCTGAGGGTTGCTGTGGGTCTTTAGGCTCCCAGGAGCCCAGGCGGCAGTGGCTTTGGGGACTCAACCCCCTGCAAGACGTGTTCTTCGTGTCAGGTCCTCTTAGGGCTCTTCAAACAGGAGGGAGCGAAAGACCGTCGGAGGCATCATGCAACTGTGTTGATCATCTTGTTACATATCTGTTTTTAGCCACCGTGCCAAGAATTTGCTTGACTCTTTCCCGACGAGCTGTGAGGAAGGACTGGCCCCAGAGGAGGGGCCAGTGGCTGTCAGAGGCCCACAGATGTACCCCACCCTCGGGGACCCACCTTCTGAACCCCAAAGGAGAGTGAGAGCAGCGTCTGTGAGATGAACCAGCCATGAGACATTCCACCCCCCTCCCCCAACTTGAATGAGAGGTGATT